CTGGTGACTGGAATGCAAAAGTTGGAAACAAAGAAGAATCACCAGTAGCTGGAAAATTTAGCCTTGGTGACAGAAATAATGCTGGAACTCACATGGTAGAATTTTGCAAGACCAATGACTTATTCATTGCAAACACCTTTTTTCAACAACACAAACTGTGGCTCTACACGTGGACTTCACCAGACGGTACACACAGGAATCAGACTGACTACATTTGTGGCAAGAGATGGTGGAAAAGCTCAATATCTTCAGCCAAAACTGGGCCAGGAGCTGATTGTAGAACAGACCATCAACTGCTCATATGCAAGTTCAACTTGAAGTTGTAGTCAATTAAAATAAGTCTCCATAATTAGACTCACTGAAAGGAGCTCTGGTGGAAGAGTGGATAAAACATTTGGCTGCTAATCAGAAGGTCAGCGGTTCAAACCCACCAGTGGCTCCATGGAAGGAAGATTGGGCAATCTACTTCTGTAAAGATTTACAGCCTTGGAAACCCAATGGGGGTTGCTATGAGTCAGAAATTATTCAATGTCAGTGAATTTGGTTTTTGGTTTTGTGCTTATTAGAAGATAAAGGTTGCCAGATTGGATATATGGTGTGTGGAAGAGACATACTAAAACCATAAAGCACAGAATGGTTGAGAAAAAGAAAAAAGATAAGCCATTCAAATATTTATAAAATTAAGCTCTACTAATATTTTAAAAAAAGAGAGTTTAAAAAAAATCATATTAGGGTAGAGAGTCACATTATAATATAAAAATGTTTACTTCTCCATGAAGATTAAATAATTCTAAACTTGAATATACTTAATAGAATTGTCTCAAAATATATAAAGCAAAAATATTTAGAACCAGAGGTAAAACTGGATAACTCGCTAGCAGAGTGGATGATTTCTATACTTCTCTCAATTATGAATAGAACAAGACGATAAAAATCAGTAAAAATACATAAAATTTAAACAAAATAATTAAAAGCCTAGAAACATTTAATGCTGAAAGGCAACTTGGTGTCATAGAAAAAGCACAGAATTTGGAAAGCAAAATACCTTGGTTTAGGTAAAGTTACAGTTATGTGACTTCAGCATTTATCTTTACTGGTATTACTTCCTTATTTGCAAATAAAACACTCAATACCTGTTCTGGCTACCTAGTGCCACTATGACAGGAATATACCACAAATGGGATGGCTTAAACAAACAGGAGTTTATTCTTTTATAGTTTGGAGGCTTTAAGTCCAAGTTTAAAGCGCCAGGCTCTAGGGGCTGGGTGAAAGCCCCTCAACCTTGGGATTCAGCTCTGCCTCCTGCTTCTGGCCCATTGGAGCTAGAGGCTTTTCTTCACTCAGACAGCTGCTAGCTGCTGAGACTGACAAGCCCAAGGTTAACAAATAAAAAGGCACAGTCCCAACATTACCAAACCACACAGCAGGCCATTAACTCAAGTCCACTGAAAGTCCCAAGGTCGTCAGAGCACAGCAGGCTGCTGAACAACGACACAGCTACATGCAGGGTTCTCCCCAAGGCCTCTCCTTATACACAGGAAGCAGATCACATCCCTAAGGCAGCTATTTAGCTGCTCACAGTAGATTCCACCATGGAGTTGATTGCCAGTCTCATCATGGGGAATACTACATCCAGCTGCCCAGCCACTCAACGAGGCCCAGCCAAGTTGACATACAAACTTAACTACCACAATATCTAATACAACAGGAAGTGTAAAACAGATGTTTAATAAACACTGAGAAATGAATGAATGAAAAAACGAAAATGATTGAAAAAAGTGTGAAAAATGAAAACTATAATATATGAAAGAGAAGTTAATGCTAGACCTATTTGTAGGAGGGATTGATTGCAAAGGGCAAGAAGGAACTTTTTGGGGTTATGAAAATATTGCATATCAGGCTGATTATACAACTGTATATATTTGTAAAAACTCATCAAATTGTACACTTAAAATTACTAAATTTTATTACATATAAGTAATACCTCAATAAAGCCTACAAAAAAACCTAACAGGATCTTCTTTAGGTTACATAATAGAGAATGTTAAAAAAGAAAAAAATGAAGCTATAATTTAAAGTACATATACACCTAGCCCATTGCCATTGAGCTGATTTCAACTCATTGCAATCTCCAATGGGTTTCCAAGACTGTAAATCTTTACAGAAATAGACTGTCTCATCTTTTTCCCATGAAGCAGCTGGTAGGTTTGAACCACCTACCTTTTGGTTAGCAGCACATATATACCTACTCTTCACTTACTGACACAGTTAGGTTCCAAAGACCAGGATGTTATGAGAAATTAGTGTTCTGTGAAAGTCAGGGGCCATGCTCTATATTTGGCACCAGTGCTCCCCCTCACTGCCCATTGGGGACCCCTGGCATATCTCAGCCAGGGTTGGGGTGGTGGTGGTAGTGGTAGAGTGCTGCATGCCACCCAGTGCCTGACCTGGGCAGGGACTTTGCTTACCCTTCATTGGCTCTGACCCTATAGCCCCACGTACGTCTCTTCCTTCTCCCTCCTTTCTCGCTCCCCCCACTACCTCCCACTGACCTTCTTCATATCTTCAGGCCCTTGACAAGCCTGCCCTTGCCTCCTGCGACCTTGTGTCATCCCACTGTTGCCTTGCACCCTCCATGGCCAGACAGAGATGTTGCAGACGAATGGGAGAAGGAATCCTGCAGCCAAGTGGCACCATTCCCCCATGTGGCCTGGCTGTCACTGGGGCCTTTGCTATCTCATTTGGGGTGGCCTGTGGAGAGTGCCCTGCATCTGGTCATGGCCCTGGGTGGCTTCCAGACGACTGGAAGTGCCACCAGAGTATGTTTTAAGTTGAAAATGAGAAATGTCAGATAATGAGATAGTAGATAAGTGAGGAGTAGGTATATAATGAAATCAATGGTGAACTATAAAAAGTTCTTTATAATACCTTCCCTTTTCTCCTTTTCTTGCTACTTAAAATAACTGAATAATTAATTCTAACATTTGTATTATGAAATATTCATATCTACAACAGTGTATAAAATACATGGGCAATTTTAAAGAATAACAATTAAACAAAGTTAATCCATTTTTGTTTCTTCCTTAAATCAAAAGTGCTTATAATTCACTTGGAAGGCTATAAAAGATCCTTACTTTTTCTTTTGTGCTTCTGAGAAGACACTCACCTCTTCCTTTGACGTTTCCGAGTCAAGCTGTAGTGTGAGGTACATAATGATATGAGGAGTGTTCAGAATATTCTGCTGGGTATCTTCAACCTCTTCTCCCCATAGAAGTTTGACTAAATCACTTGTATGCAACTGTGCCTTTTTCGGTTTTGGTTGGGCCGTTTCCTTTTTCACAGCATAAGCATTTTCAAATGTCAGTTTCACCTTTAAAAATTAAGATAATTTATTGACTTTTCAATAAGGGAAGATCAGCTGTAAAATCAGCTGTAATTTTTGCAAAGAAGGATCTGAACATGCATATACTTTTAGGTATGCACTTGTAAAAACCCATTGCTGTCAAGTCAATTGTGACTCATAGCAACCCTATAGAAAGAGTAGTTTCCAAGGCTTTAATCTTTATGAAGGCAAAGTGACACATTTTTTTTCCTATGGGGCAACAGCTAGGTTCAAACTGCTGAATTTTCAGTTAGCAGTCAAGTGCTTTAATCATTGCACCAACAGGGATAATATGTATAAAAATGTATAAAGTGTCCAATAGTGTGGGTTCCTTGATGGCAGGGACTGTGCTCTGTTTAGTTTTCTATCTTCAGTTCCTAGCACACCTTATAAACATCTATTGTGTAAGAATGTATAATGCTCTGTACAAAACATTCATTTAAACTTAATCACTGTAAGTTGTTTTTTTATCTAAATATTTTTTTAAAAATTAACTTTATATACTTATATATTTAAGATTTTCAAAAAAGCACATTAGTGACACAACTTTTGCCAATTCAACTTTTCACAGGGATACAACTTATTGAGAACAATTGCAATAATTAGTGCTGTAACCTACCCTTATTCGATGCGCAATCTTTATTATGCATTTTTTTCTTTTGGAAAAAGAAAAAAAAATCTAGATGTTTCTTTTAATTGGTAAAGAGTGACTGTTTATAGTAGTATTCAATTTTGCTTATCTGTAGCAGAGTGTCACATTTCAGGGGCACTAAGGAAGGTTGGGCAATCCTACTTCCGTAGTGATACTGCCTCGGAAACCCAAGGAGGGGTCGCTATGAGTCAGGGCTGACTTGATGGCACACAACAACAACAACAACAAGTTATCACTGCCTACATAAAGTGAATTAAATTAAAACAACTTTTCTAAAATAAGTCTCAGGTTTCATTTTATAAGCAAGTAGAAAGGAGAAGAGACATGAATTCCAAGCTCATTACTATGTATGTATTCACAGTGAAGATGTAGTAGGTCAAGATCAGCAGTAATCTATATCAAACTAGAAACAGTAAGCTAAGTTATAGAGCACAGGAGTGAAGAAGTTCCTTATGAAATTTTTCTGACCTGGAGCATTCTGGAAATCTTAATTCTACACTCCTTTGGCCTACTCTGAAGTCTGATGATCAGCTTTCTTTACAAAACATTTAAAATAATTTCAAATGTATACACTAAATATAAGAAAAAAATTGGACAGGGATCTGATGAGTTGAGTAGCTTAGTGGCTGGGGAGTTCTTTCATATGGGAGCCTTTGGTGATGTCACCTGGAAATGTGCAAAATCGTTAGAGTTGGGGGAAATCTTAGGTATAGACTTTGTGACTCAATACAATCAAAGAATCAGACCTGTGGTCATCCAGTTGATTCTGACTCATGGTGACACCATGTATAACAGAGTAGAACTGTGCTCCATAGGGTATTCAATATCTGTGGTTTTTTGGAAGCAGATTGCCAAGCCCTTCTTCATAGGCATCTCTGGGCAGATCTGAACCACCAACTTTCTGGTTAGTAGCCGAGTACTATCTGTTTGTGCCACCCAGGGACTCCTGTGATAGTATCAGTGGGAGCTTTTAAGATTGTTCCCTGATGTTGACCTTTAGAGGGTGTGTAGGTGTAGTGCAGGGGGATAAATCTGACCACAGGAAGCACAAGATGTATCCTATGGATTGTCTGTGAGAGCTGTGCCTAATCAGTGGTAAACAGGGAGAAGAGGGATGCCCATACTAAGAAAAGTATCTCAGAACAGAGAGAGCATATTTTCCAGCTGAGATTCTTGTGGGTGGTGAGGTCAAAAGATAGGGTGTGACTAACCAAGAAACAACAAAAGGAAATGAGTTGTTAGGCTTAAAAATAAAAATTCACCATAAAATAAATAAAGTAATTTTACTTTCTGTAGCAACAACAACTAAATTAACAACAACCTAAAATTTAAGATTGGTTTGCTATGCTTTAAGAAAAACAACACACTTGATGTTAATGTTATACTTGGCAAATGATAGAGCTTCATTTCTGTGGTACAAGGACCTTCTCCTCTCACCATGACAAAAACCCAACCAAAAACACACACCATAGAACCATCCATTAAAATTCTCCAAGGAACTATTTTAACCACCAGTCTTCTGACTGAGGTAAAGTTGGGTTCATAACGTAAATATAATTATACTCTAGCAGGGCATTTTGAAAAACTTTCATGTTAAATAGCTATAAATGTCAGGAAATCTGTTTACCTCGATAAAATAATAAAGGATGAGTTAGAGGACCAAATTAGTAATTAACTGTTATTTTAAAAAAGGATTGATACACATACATACATATTAAGGATTCCATGTTTTATAAGAAATATACTTATAAGAAAGCATCTAATATAGAGTTTATGTGAAACTTCTTACAAAAAAAAAAAAAAAATGTTTTCTGTTGTTTCTCCACAGACCTTACCCAGTGACGAGTTTCATCAATGCTTTCTATAAGAAATCTTAATTTCATTGCAAGGCTTAAAACAGACTTATTCCCATGGTCTCTTACTTCAGTAACTCTCTGGCAACTCTCATTGCATCACCATTCCAAACTCTTGAGCTCATTTATAGATCCTACAATCCCATTCTGCAAACCTCCAGCTTTAGCACACACAACCATAACCTTTTTACTCAAGCACTCCTGTTGCTAATGACACTTGAAGATACGGGGACAAAATCATAGCCACATGAATGAGTGCCAATACAAATTCATTTTGTGTAATCTGAGCTGCTTTAACAAAAGTAAATGGAAAACATGATGAAGTGAAAGAGCTGAAGAGAAGATTTTAAATGGCAGCTCAAGAAGACAAATTAAAGTACTATAATCAAATGCAAAGACCAGGAGTTAGAAACTCAGAAGGGAAGAACACACTAGGCATTTCTCAAGGAGAAAGAACTGAAGAAAAAAATTCAAGCCTTGAGTTGCAATACTAAAGGACTCTATGGACACCATTTGTCTGTCAGTTTGTCATACTGTAGTGGCTGGCATGTTGCTATGAGGCTGAAGGCTATGCCACTGGTATTTCAAATACCAGCAGAGTCACCCATAGTGCACAGGTTTCAGCAAAGCTTCCAGGCTAAGACAGACTGGGAAGAAGAAGGGGATCACCCACTTCTCAAAAAATTGGCCAGTGAAAACTTTACAAATAGTAGTGAAACACTCTCTGATATATTACTAGAAAAGTTTATGAATAGCCCTGAAACATTGTCTGACATACTGCAGAAAGATAAGCCCACCAGGTTGGAAGGCACTCAAAATACTACTGGGAAAGAGGTGCCTCCTCAAAGTAGAGTCAACCTTAATGAGGTGGATGGAGTAAAGCTTTTGGGACCTCTATATGTTGCTGATGGAGCATGACTCAAAATGGGAAGAAACAGCTGCAAACATCCATTAATAATTGGAACATGGGATGTATGAAGCATGAATCTAGGAAAATTGGACGTTGTCAAAAATGAAATGGTATGCATAAATATCAATTTCCTAGGCATTAGTGAGCTGAAATGGGCTGGTTTTAGCCATTTTGAATCAGACAGTCATATGATCTATTATGCTGGGAATGACAGTTTGAAGAGGAATGGCATTGCATTCAATTTCACAGAGAATGTTTCAAGATCTATCCTGAAGTACAATGCTGTCAGTGATAGGATAATATTCTTATGCCTGTAAGAAAGACCAGGAACTCTGGTAGCATAGTGCCTAAGGCACTTGACTGCTAACCAGAAGGCTGGCAAACCCACCAGCCACTCCTCAGAAGGAAGGTTGGGAAATCTGCTTCCATAGTGATACTGCCTCGGAAACCCAAGGAGGGGTTGCTATGAGTCGGGTCCAACTTGACAGCACGTAACAACAACAACATAAGAAAGACCAATTAATACTACTATTATTCAAATTTATACACCAATCACTAAAGACAAAGATGAAGAAATTAAAGATTGTACCAACTTCTGCAGTTTCAAACTGACCAAACAAACAAGATGTATTGATGATTATTGGTGATTGGAATGCAAAGCTGGAAACGAAGAATCACCAGTAATTGGAAAATATGGCCTTGGTGATAGAAAAGATGCCAGAGATTGCATTACAGAATTTGGCAAGACCAATGACTTACTCACTGCAAATACTTTTGTCAACAATGTAAACAGCTACTATACACATGGACCTCACTAGATGAAACATACAGGAATCAAACTGACTACATCTGGGAAGGAGGCAATGGAGAAGCTCAATATCATTAGTCAAAACAATGCGAGAAGCTGACCATGAAAATTGCTCATATGCAAGTTCAAGTGGAAGCTGAAGACAATTAAAACAAGTCCACAAGAGCCAAAATATGACCTTGAGTATATCCCACCTGAATTTAGAGATCATCTGTACAACAGATTTGATGCAATGAGAACACCAATGACTGAAAACCAGATGAGTTGTGGGATGACATCAAGAATATCACACATGAAGAAAGCAAAAGGTCATTAACAAGATAGCAAAAGAAGCAAAGAGCAAAATGGATGTCAGAAGAAACTGTGAAACTTGCTCTTGAAAAGGAAGTAGGTAAACCAAATGGAAGAAATTACAAGATAAAAGAGCTGAACTTCAGATGATTTCAAAGGGCAGCTCAAGAAGACAAAGTATTATAATGAAATGTGCAAAGACCTGGAGTAGACAACCAAAAGGGAAGAACACTCTTAACATTTCTCAAGCTGAAAGAACTGAAGAAAAAATTCTAGCCTTGAGTTGCAATACTGAAGGATTCTACTGGTAAAATAGAAAATGATGCAGGAAACATCAAAAGAAGATGGAAGGAATACACAGAGTCACTGTACCAAAAAGAACTGATCGATGTTCAACTATTTCAGGTGGTAGCATATGACAAAGAACTAGTGGTACTATAAGAAGAAATCCAAGCTGCACTGAAGGAATTAGCA